GCTCTTTCTGACCCAGAAAGTGCAAGAGCCAACCGGAGGTACCACTCTCCTAGACTTGGTCTTTGCCAAAGGAGAAGATCTGGTGTGTGGCTTGAACATTGAGGGTAGCCTGGTCAACAGTGACCATGAGCTGATCAGGTTCACTGTCTGCCTCAAGGTTAACAAATCAACTAGCAGGATTGAAGTCCTGGACTTCAAAAATGCTGACTTCAACGGGCTCAGGGCGTTAGTAGGGGAGGTGATGTGGGACCAGGGACAGAAGGCAAATGGGGTGCACGAAGAGTGGTTGTTCCTCAAGGACATGATCTTTGAAGCACAAAAGAAAACAGTTCCCATGAAGAGGAAAGGTAGAAGGGCTGGCAAGGCCTCCTGGCTCAATAGGAACATCATGGTCCTGTTGAAAAAGGAAAAAAAAAAAGAGGCATACACACAGTGGAAGCTAGGGACAGTCCTCAAGGAAGACTATACAACAGTGGTCCACACTCGTAGCAAAATGATTAGGAAAGCTAAGGCAGAAACTGAGTTTAAGTTAGCCAAGAGAGTTGAGGACAGTAAGAAGTCCTTCTTTAGGTATGTAGGGAGCAGAAGGAAAATAAATGGAAGTGTTGGGCCCCTGCTTAACACCTCGGGACAGCTAGTAATGGACACTCAGGAAAAAAACTGAACTGAATGCCCACTTTGCTTCGGTATTTCACTGGGCCAAGGGGAAAGACAAGCGAGATAAGGATCACAGGGGGCATGGTGGGAATGACAGTCTTCCCACTGTGGATGCTGAGCTGGTGCAAAACCAACTAGAAAACCTAGACATTTATAAGTTAGCAGGACCAGATGGACTTCACCCAAGAGCACTGATGGAGCTGGCTGAGGTTATTGCAGAACCCCTGGCAAAACTCTTTCAGAAATCATGGCGCACAGGGGAAATCTGTGAGGACTGGAAGAGGGCAAACATTGTGCCCATCAGCAAGAGGGGGAAGAGGGAGTACCTGGGCAACTATAGGCCAAGTAGCCTAACCTCCATCCCAGGGAAAATCCTGAAAAAGCTCATTAAAGAATCTATGTGCAATACACTTGTTGAGGGTAAGATTCTGAATGATAGCCAGCATGGCTTCATCGCAGGTAGGTCTTGTCTTACCAATTTCATCTCCTTCTATGAACTCTCTCACCACCTGGACATGGCAGAGAGGGTCGACATTATATACCTAGACTTCCAAAAGGCTTTTGATCTAGTATCCCATAATATTCTTCTGGAAAAATTGGAAGATTGCGGGCTTAACTGCTCAACAGGTCAGTGGGTGGGAAACTGGCTGCATGGTAGGACCCAGAGATTTCTCATGAATGGATCTGTGCCATCCTGGTGAGAAGTGGCCAGTGGTGTCCCTCAGGGGTCCATGCTTGAACCAGTGCTTTTCAACATCTTTATCAATGATTTGCATGTGGGGGAAAAGCTTGCTGGCCAAGTTTGTGGATGACACCAAGTTATGGGGGAGTGTAGTCATGCCAGAAGATAGGTTGTAACTACTGGCAGACCTGGACAGGCTGGAGAGATGGGCAGACCAGAACCAGATGAATTTCAACACTCAAAAGTGTAATGTGCTCCATCTGGGGGCAAACAATCCGCAACATACCTACAGGCTCAGCGGCAACAATTTGACTTGCATCACGGCTGAAAGGGGCCTAGGGGTAGTGATCGACCATCGCGTGAATGGAGCTGGCAGTGTGATGCTGTGGCCAGCAGAGCAAACAACACGCTGGCATGCATTAACCATTGCATCTCATGCAAAACTAAGGAAGTGATACTCCAACTGTACTTTGCACTGGTGAGATCGCAGCTGCAGTTCTGCATCCAGTTCTGGGCACCACACTTCAACAAGAACGTGGAAAAAATTGAGGGGGTCCAGAGAAGAGCCACCTGTATGATCAGGGACTTGAAAGACAAGTCATACGAGCAGAAGCTGAGGGACTTGGGCCTCTTCAGCCTACAGAAGAGAAGGCTGAGAGAGGACTTGGTAGCGGGTTACCGCTACATCAGGGGAGTACATCAAGAACTCGGTGAACAGCTGTTCACTAGGGCACCCCTGGGGAAGACCAGGAGCAATAGATACAAACTCCTGGAAGGCCGCTTCAGGCTCAATTCCAGGAAAAACTCCTTCACAGTCAGGGTATCCAGACTGTAGAATAAACTCCCTCTAGTGGTGGTGCAGTCACCTACCCTGGAAATCTTCAAAAGGAGACTGGACAGTCACCTTGCTGAGGTCACTTGACCCCAGTTGTCTTTTCCTGCCTAGTGCAGGGGGACTGGACCCCATGATCTACAAGGTCCCTTCCAGCCCCTAACAATCTATGAACACACAGAGAATTACTGGTATTGTCAAAGCACAATCTCAGATTTTTACTGCCAACTGACATCACCGCCTCTTCATCAAACCCTAACTCTCTTCTTCCCAGAAGAACACCATAAATCATCACTGCTTTGTGACTTTTCAGTTTCTCTCCCTCTGAGGCTCTCAAATTTCAGCCTTTACTTGCCAAATCTCTTATTCCACACTCTAGTTTCTTGCTTCTGCATATAATCAAATCCAGTGATTTTCAAAGTCAGGTAACTATAGACCAGTTATGAGGATTCAGGTAACTATAGACTGGTCAGTCTCATCTCTATCCTTGGAAAACTTTGAAAAAATTATTAAGGATCACATCTGTGGGAGTCCAGCAGAATAAATCAATGCTGAAGGGCAACCAGCATGGATTCATAGCAGCTAGATCCTGCCTAACTAACTTGGTTTCTTTTTATGACCAGGTCCCAAAATGCTTAGATGCAGGAATTGAGGTAGATGTCATGTACTTGGATTTTAAGAAGGCCTTTGATACAGTATCTCATCCTATTCTCATAAATAAACTGAGCAGTTGTGACATAGATGATTATACAGTCAGGTGGGTGGCAAATTGGCTATGGGGTTGCACCCAGAGAGCAGTGGTGGATAGGTTGGTATCAACTTGGAAAGATGTGGGCAGTGGAGTCCCACAAGGCTCAGTCCTTGGACTGGTGCTGTTCAACATCTTCATCAGTGATTTAGATGATGGCTTGGAGAGCACTCTGTCCAAATTCGCAGATGATAGCAAATTATAGGGTAAAGTTAACAGACTAGAGGGTAGGGACCAAATCCAGGCAGATCTGGACAGGTTGGAAAAGTGGGCAGAACAGAATAGGATGCAGTTCAATAAAGACAAGTACAAAGTGCTGCACCGAGGGAGAAGGAAGCACCAGCAACTTGCAGGCTAGGGGAGGGGGAGGACCTTCTCAGAAGCACAGCAGCAGAAAGGGATTTCAGAGTCATTGTTGACACCAAGATGAACATGAGTTGTCAAGGTGATGAAGTGATCAGTAAAGCTAACCACACTTTATCATGCATTAGAAGGTGCATGACAAATAGGTCTAGGGAGGTGATACTTTCCCTCTAGGCAGCATTGGTCAGACCACAGTTGGAGTACTGCGTCCAGTTTTGGGCACCACACTTCAAGAGGGATGTGGATAACCTCAGGAGGGTTCAGAGGAGGGCCACTCGTATGGTTAGGGGCCTGCAGGCAAAGCCCTACAAAGAGAGATTGAGGGCCCTGGATCTCTTCAGCCTCCACAAAAGAAAGCTGAGAGGTGATCTTGTGGCCACCTACAAATTCATTGGGGAAGGGTGGGCAGGAGGAATAGGAGATGCTCCATTTACCAGGGCACCCCTTGGAGTAACTAGGAACAATGGCCACAAACTGACAGAGAGCAGATTTAGCATGGATATCAGGAAAAACTTCTTTATGGAAGGGTTGCCAGAATCTGGAATGGGCTTCCAAAGGAGGTGGTGCTCTCCCCTACCTTGGGGGTCTTTAAAAGTAGGCTAGACATGCACCTGGCTAGGGTCATCTGACCAGGGCAGGGGGGCAGACTCAATGATCTACTGAGGTCCCTTTCAACCCAAACATCTATGAATCAAACAGGGTGCTGCAGCACACTAAGTTGTTGCCAGATCCTTTGAAGGGGACTGTGAGGAGGGAAGGAAGATGTAAGGCAGGGGTGTCCAACTTTTTGAACGTGGGGACGGATCATGAACTTTTTATCACCCAGTGGGCCGGCAAGCCATATTCAAAGGCCTCACAGGAAGCGGTATCACCCCCCCCCCCCAACAAAAGAACAGTGTTTACTTCTGTTTCCCATCGCAGCACCTTGGGCCTCAGAAAACAGCTTGGAGTGCCACATGTTGGACAAGCCTGATGTAAGGAGATAAGCAGTTAACAGGCTCAGGAATGCCCCTGCCTGGTGGACTGTCCCCTCCCCCCATTGCCTGGCCCCTCTGCTAAGCACTTAACATATACATTTGTTTTTAAAGATTGGGCACCACTCATATCAAAAAAGTTAGAGGGGTGTCTTGTGTCCAGTGGGGGGTGCCTCAGGTTCAATTCATAAGGCACTCAATGGTCCTAAAATATCAAGGCAACTTCTTTTCTTCAGCCTTCCATAGGAATAGGACTGCAATCAACACCTGCTGAACCCTTTTGCCCTGCACTTCTGTGCAGGCCTTCCAACATTTCTCCATAAGGCCCATTGTTTTAAAACAGAATGCAGGTAACCAAATCACAGTCACCAATCACAAAGAAGTTTGCATGCAAATACTTGTCATCTCACTTCCACTTCCTTCCAGCCCTTTGCTCTGTCCCAGATTCATATGCCATCTCCCTCTCACTCATAAGGGTCTTAACATCCTTTAGTCTTTCATCCTCCTGCAGAGTTCTAGTACAGTCCCAACTGCTTATGTCTGTACAAACCCTAATTTGATTAAGTGGCTGGGTAAATAGGTACTTTTGGGATGCAGTCTACAGGAGGATTCTCACTCCTATCTCACTCCCCTGCTGACAGGTTAGGTTCCTACAGGATTCCAGGGTTAATGTTCCCAAAAGGAGGGAAAGCCCTTTTGTCCCTCCCTTACTGATGGGCAGATCTAGGATTTTGGGAAGGGTACTGCAGATGGTATGGGACATTATCACATATAACATAACACATATTTTTTTCTAGTTAAACAGAAACTAGATGCCTTACTAATATGCTAGGGCAGTGGTTGTCAACTGGGGGTACACATACTCCTTGGGGGTACTTAAAAAAGATGTAGGGGGTATGCAAAATGAATGTACATATATTGGCAATTGGCTTTTTTTGGCTGATATTGTGGCAGATAAATGCCCTGTGCATGCTTGCAGCATGCAGGCAGCCAGAAGCGCAGCCTGGCAGTGTGGAGAGCAGCGGGTCCAGCTGGTAAGTCTGTTGTGAGGGAAGGGATGTGGTCGAAGGTGGAGGCAGATCAAAGCCTCCGTGGCAAGAGGGGGAGAGGGGCTGGAGCAACTGCTGCATAGCCAGGACAGGATGCAGGACAGAGCCACGAGCGACTCACCCAAAGGGTGCAGAGTGGGGGTGGCTCCCACCACTGTACGCACCCTGGGAGGCCATGGGGGATGTGTGCTCCCAGAACTGCGTGCGGGGTGAGGGGGGGCTGCCACTGTGGGCTGGGGCCAGGGCGGCACCGGGCTCTTCCTGGCAGGAGGTTGGGCCAGGGCGGCCAGGAACATAATTGGTAACATTAAAAACAAGAAAAAAATATGAAGATGTACAGATTTCGCTCAATTTATGTGGTTTCTATATATATGTGAATTCGCTGTTATGTGACGAGCATATTTAGACATATAATTCATTATATGAAAGGTAAATTCATTCTTATGCAATCAGAATAGATGCTCCCCCGCCCAAGCAGGTAAGTCTGTGGGTGGAGGGGAAAGGGCCGTGGCCCCACTCACCCTACTCCCAGCTGCAGCGGCCCTGGGAGCAGCTAGCACCAGCTGCCTGCAACAGGGCATGGTGCAGCCCAGGAGCAGAGGTGAGTGGGGACAGGTAGAGCACGATGCAGCCCAGCACATTCAGGCAGCTGGTGCTGGCCACTCCCGGGGCCACTGCAGCTGAGACTGGGGTGAGCGCCACTCTGTTCCCTCTGCTTTGCTGCCTTGTGCAGCCCTGGGAGCAGCACCCCTCCCCTCGCCTCTTCCCTAGTCCCAGTCTCACTCCCTCCTTCCCTCCCTCACCACCATGGGAACCTATCTCTATTTGTTACATTGTAAAGTGGTTTCACTTTATGCAAATTCAATTTATGTGCCATTCTCCAGGAACGCATGTACTGCATAAATCAAGGGAAACTGATTATGAGCTGAAACTTTGAGACAGAAGGGGTACACTTGTTAAAAAAGTTTGAAAACCCCTGTGCTAGGGGGCTAACATTATATCATTTAGTTTAGGATCAAAGCAAAAACAAATATAACTATTGGAATGTGTATTCATTTGCTAGATTATATATAACTTTTTTTAAAAAAAACACAATGCATTAGGTAACTAATAGTTAAAAGATCGTGCCATTAGTCCTGTAGTAATTAAAAGTAGATATTTAATTAAATGTAGATAATTAAATGTAGATATTCAGATCCAAAAAACAAAAACTAGTCTTCTTCAGAGTCTTGACAGTGCCTCCAATACTTCAGGCAGTCATTTCTACACCTTAGTTAGTATAACCACATCTGAGTTAAAGCTTTAGCTAGAGTTAAAAACAGTCTGCAGGGCTGTGAAATGGAAGAATGATATTAGCTGAAATAGCTAACAGGCAACATTTCTAAAAAAGGGATAGTCTGAATAGTGAAACATCAAGACCATTTAAAAAGATAGAAGGTGGTCAACACCTATGGAGCGGAGAAAGATTAGCAGGAATCAGAGGTAGGACCAGGCCCCATGAAATCAACTGATTCTTTCAGCATTCAATAGAAATGCTACTACCCCCCTTACACAGTTGTTTTTAAAGTTTGGGTGGAGTAGGAACCCAGGGAAGGGAGGGGTGGGGACTGCACCTACCCTAGATCTGCCCCTGCATCCTCATAAGGTTCACTATGAAATTTTCAAATCCCTCCTTATGGCTCCCCAAGTAAAAGAAGACACTGGAAAGGTGAAGCCACCAGAGCTGCTCCATACTCATCTGCTCAGGATGCTACTTGCCCTTTCACCCCCTCCCTACCTCCATTTTATTCAATGATACTCCAAAGATTAGGGCTCCCATAGGTATGGGTCACCAGAGCTGCTCCATACTCATCTGCTCCCTGTAGGCTTCAGAGGACATCATTGCTGCTGCCAACCATCTTCAACAAGGATACTACTTATCCTAAAGCAGAAACCACCCACTTCCCAACATCTTAATTATCCCCACTGCCAGGCCAGCCAGTCCTAGCCCCACTTTGCTCACCTTGGATCTGGAATAGTTGTCTTGGCTGCTCTAGGGTGCTCCATCATGCCTCTTCTTGCTCAGGGAAGGTCTTCTTGAAAGCCACTTCCAAGCATCTCCGCTTCCGTCACCCTCTGTCTCTCAAGTTGCCTCTGATTTTGACTGGGTTGTAACTACTGTTTTCTGCCAAACCCCACCCACACTATCCCTTGTTTCTGGTAAGTTCCTGTAACTACTTCCCCTTCCAGAGTTCTGGAAATTGCTGCAACGATCCTTCCTTCAAAGACATAAAAAACACTTTTTCCTCCCTCCCCATCAGACCCTTAACCACAGGGACTCCAGAAAGGCCTGTCTGCCTGCCACTGCTGCTCCTATCTCCTCCTCTACAGCCTCCCCTTCCAACTCTTTCTTTCCCAGGTGAGCTGGAGCAAGAGAGGTAACTTCTGTCTCCCTTCCTGCAGCAGGCTTCAGTATAATGGCCCACCCCAAACTGAAGCCAATAAGTAAGGAGTTTCAGCTGAGCCACTTTAACTAGAGGCATAGTTCTCCTTTAAGACTGGCTGATATGATTAGTAGGTTTGTTATTTAGGGCAATTTCTGGAGGTTGTTGTTGTAGTTGTTGCTTAAAGCTCTCCTTCTGCTTCTTGTTTGAATCCTGGTTGTTGATTATTGGCCCCTAATCCTCAGAGTGTCCTGGCTGTGGACTTTGGCTCATCAATCCTAGCTGATATGTCAGTTCCTGGCTTTAGCTTTTGATACTCAGTTTATATTCTGCTTCCTGGTCTTAACCCCTGGGATAGATGGACTGTCTACATCCCAGTCTCTTCCAGATGCTACCAAGATACAATTAAATGCTTAACAGCCACTATGAAATGGGACCACTGGATAAGGTGGAGGACAAGGGTTGGGCCCTGTGTCTGTTTTGGGACTGGACATAAATGTTCTGAACTGTGTTAAACAGCCTCAGATATACTAACATGAACTGAACAATTTACCTGGCAATTACCACAGCCTCAGCTGGTTTAGTGTAGGTGCTTCAGTAACAGCCCTGTTTTTCCTGGACCATCTAACAGAAACAAATGTAAGAAGTGCTTCTAGATACACTAGCTACAATTATACTTTCAGGATCACTTTACTTCTACAACTTGGACAGTGGTAGCCAAATGTTGGCACAGATCGTCCTGTTCTCTTCAGTCGGGATTATTGCACAAATCCTGCTTCTGAAAACTCCTCATGCAAATAACTCCCTTGAACACAGGGATTCTTGTTTTAAATATATCAACTAGTTTTTAGTTGATCAGTATCCCATAAAAGTGGTTTTAACATAGTGAAGCCAGAATTGGACAAACCATGCATGAGACCTTACTTACAAACCTAATCTCAATTGAAATTATATGTAAATAAATAAATAACATCCTGAAAAAAAGTGTGACATACTCGTTGGCTTCCTCCTAAACTGGGATTTTTCCCATCCTAGGCAAATAATCCAGATTTCAATGCATTGTTTGAGGCTAATGATGTTTCTCCAGCACGTAGAGACTGTCTGATGGAACCCTGCCTGCTGCACAACTTTTTGTAGCTGCCTGGCTTCTTGGTAGCCTGCCTAGCTAGGGAAACCTGGGCTTCCAGGCTGCATGAACAAGGAGCAACCCACTATGTAGGCTGTATTAGAGCTAGAGATGCTAGCACATCCAGAACCTGTGGCTCTGAAACAAGCAAGCAGATGGACTGTCCTTAGTCACATTCCCCCTGGCTTTCAAGGTCTATGGACTACTCCAAAGGTGTAAATCCAAGAGCCTGTGCCACCTGTAGGCTATCTTCTATGGCAAGCAGGAATACCCTTTGTTAATCTCCTCTGTTAACCTCCTAACTCCCTGGGTAACTTCTAAGAGGGTAACATTGTTGCTCTAGTTCAGTGGTCTCCAAACTTTTTTGATCACGCACCCCTATCAGTAAAAAATTTTTGAGCATGCACCCCCAATATATGTATATTTATTTATTTATAAATTATATACATGTACTACTGTACTAATATATTATGTACATTATAAAACATACACAAAAATAGAAATTAAAAAAGGATGAGATAAAGATGAAATAAACAATATTTTTAATTTTTTTTATTTTATTT